CTACTTCCATGATTATCTATCTATAATATTATACCATTATCATATTTATGATTATTATCGAACATTTTTTTAAATAAACGTCAATTCATTTGCAAATAAAAGAATTGTTGTCAAAAAAAAAAAAAAATTGATTTTCAAAACGAGATATTTTTCAAAATGAAATATAATGATTTGGTAGTCTATCATATTCAAATAGAGAATCATTCAGAAAGAAGTTGTACCCAAATACTATGTGGCTGTATATATCAAATCATTTGAAAATGACAATGGAAGAACAGTCATGACGGTTACAAACTTAAGAAGGCCCTCAGAGCATCTGAATTGAAATTATGTGCATAACAAAATTCTTGAGAGAGAGAGAGAGAAAGTGTGTGTGCATTTAAAAAACAGCTTTAGTTTGAGTCGAATTTTATATAACATGATGCAAGTTCTATCCTTAAAAGTATTTTTTACATTTTTACAGCGATGATAGCTTTAATTGCACATTTTAAAACTCCACAGTATTACTAAATTTGGTTTAGAAATTTTCCAAACTTCTAATGTACACATCAAAAACAAAGTTATATACTTTAAACCTTTCTCCCAACCCCATACTAAAATAAAAAACTGATTAAATGTAACGGGAGTATGAAACGCTAAATTCATACTGAAGTTAAAAAGTAGCAATTGGTCCTTATATAATAAGTTTAATTTTAATGTTGCTGTTCTGTGCTCTGTATCTAGTTCTCAGGAGATTGAAAACACTCTTTAAAACTTTATTTCACAGTTCACAGTAATGCACATATAAGTATACAGCACTGCAAAAAAAGAGAGAATAATGTCCAATTTTAATTACAACTAGTATTTAATATTATGAAACATCACATATTACATGTTTAAAGCGGAATGGAACATGTAACACCATTTGCTTTCTAAGCTGTTCCACTAATGAAATTATAATACACTTTATTACAATTTTTAATTTAATAATTTAAAGTACACCACCAAACACTGTACACTGGTAAATATAGAATTCTACTTTTACTACACTGGTACATAATTATAGGTTTTGAGGATAACAGAGATTTTTAAGATATATTCTTGATTATTTCTGATGGAAGAATTGTAAAAAACTATAATGTGAAGAAATATGGACCTAGACAAATATAACTATAACGAAAAAAAAAATCCTTTACAATTCTGAAACATTTATGCAGATACTACAGAAATAAATCTCGCATAATAGTATTTATATAATTCACCAAGAAAGGTAGTTTGTTGTTTAGTATTCATGGTTTTTAATGAAAAGGATCTCTTCTGCTGCAGCACCACTAACTCCACCACCATACTTTCCAAGAGCTGCTTCACTGTTGGCCTATAATGGAGAAAAAATTATATTTAAACTTTTGCATGTCAATAGCAACCTTCTCATAATATTAGTTCTGATACTTGATAAAAACTTTAACCCAGCTAGGAAGTAAGTAAATAATTGTACAAAATACTAAAAATAAAAATTTCCTACCTCATTAAATACAACCTGTTTACAAATCCAGCTGGAAATGTTTCCATAACATTTAAATTTATAAATTTTGAGAGTTTATCCTATTTTCATGACAGATCAACAACTGTTTGTACTTTTTATTCTGAATTTGGTATAATATAATGCATTTTACTCCAATCAAAAATGAGGACTTGTGCAATCAGGATTCTGAATAATTAAAAGACTGCCAACATGTAAAATTATTTATTGCAAGCAATACTTATTAATAAAATGAGAGGCAAGTGATGCTTCTTTGTAATTAATATTGTTTACTACTTCTTGAAAAGCATTACAATAATCAGAACTTGAATAATATTACCATCAACTGAATCACAAAATATTTCCTACCTAAGTACACAGACACACACACACATTTATCACTTTGAACTATGTATATGAATAACTGTAAAGCTCAAGTGACCTTTGCTCTCTTCAGGAACTCTTCTTGTCCAGCCTTCACACTCTCAGTTTTGCCACACCAAGCTTTCAGAGCACTTGCCTGGAGAGCACGTCCATAACTAAATGTTAAAGCCCAAGGTTTCTTTCCTGGATACTTGTTGATAGCATCAAGATTGATAGAAGCCTCTTCCTCAGACTGACCACCAGACAGAAATGTAATGCCTAGTAAAAATTAAAGTTTGGTTACTACAAAACTAAAAACAATTTTGTTAGGTAACTGAAATAAAACACACAAAAGTAAAAGACCATATTAGACTAACCAGGAACAGCAGCTGGAACTGTTCGCTGCAGAGCAGTCACAGTTGCTTTGGCAACATCTTGGGGTGTATATTTTATAGAACAACTTTGACCAGCAGTCACCATGTTGGGCTTCAGAAGTGTACCTTCCAGGTAAACATGGTGGTCACTCAGAGCCTTGTACACTGCAGCAAGGACTTTCTCTGTGACCTTTTGGGCTCTGTCCAGATCATGGGTTCCATCAGGTAATACTTCAGGCTCAACAATAGGTACGATGCCAGCCTATGAAATTGATAGCATTATGTAAATTTTACATGCAAACTAGGTGAGGAAATAAATACATTATTACCAGTAAGTTAATAAAGGACCTTTTAACATACAACATCTTAAAAACTTGAATTTATGTAGATAAAGAAATTATATTTCCAAATGTATTTGTAATAAAACTTCATAAGAAGAATATTTACAGCAATTAGTTTAATATTTTTTTATATTTCATCAAATGAAATGTGAAATTTTTTCCAGTAGTCTTGTTAAAACAGTACGATATACATTTAAATTACGATAACATAACTAATATTTCCCAGATACTTTGCTTAAAGTAGGCCTAATAAAGTGCAAGTGTTTGTGATGATAAAAAAAAATACAAACATTTTTTGGGACCATAAATATCATATGACTGTACTCTTTCACAGAGATTTCAAAGAGAATTTTTATTTTAACATATTGACCATCCAAAAGAACCCCCCCCCCAAATAATTTGAGTTACCTTTATGTAATAAAGAAACCAGCTAACTCACTTGTTGACAACATGTTGCATAACGAGCCAAAACATTGGCATTCTCCAAGATAGATAGAGGAGAGGGGTTGTGTTCTCTGATCTTTAGAACACACCTCCACTTAGCAAATAAACATCCTTGTTCTTTGTACTCCTGGCATCTTTTGGTCAAGTCATCCAGACCTGGGGAATTGTGATGTATTTTGTTGTAGTTACAAATTACAATTTAGATTTTACAGTTATAATGTTTCTTCTTCTAGTTCTTGGATGATTCTCTGGTAAAACTTGTTTTTTTTTTTTTTGATGGATTAGTAAATTTACCTAGCTTATACTTTCTGTAATAAAAACATTACTCAACTCTTCCAAAACTATCAACTCGACATAGAAGCAAACTGTCAATAGTTATGAAATCTAAATTTATTTCACATGTTTAATACATACAACAGCAGCAAATTTAACCATTAGAAGTTCTTGAATTGTATTTTCTAGAAACACGTATTATTGAAAACTTTACCTGAAACATAAAGTACAATCTTTAACAGTTGAGTAACATCAATAAAAATTTGCACTTTTTAATGTTAGCATTAAATGTTCCTCCTTATATTAAAAGTAAATATCTAGATTTTAAGTTTCACAAGGAAGTTCAATAATATTCAGAGTTTTGCAAGTTGACTATAGTAAAACTACTACTTTCTACTATTTTTGATGCTCTAAGAAGACTTGAATATTAGATCTAATGGTTTCTAATACATTGATAGCTTTCAGTACTCTATTCATAACCTTTAAAAGTTCTTGTAATGCAAAAATAAATATTTCAGGTAAACTTCTCTCATTGTCCAGCCCAGCTGATGAATTTTGGTATTGAAATCGGCTTTTTAGGTTGACTTGAGGCAGAAAAGATAAATGAAAAATGTTATTTTTTATCAGAATTTGGATTTGAATATTCATAATGGACAAACTAAGAGGAAAATGAAAAGATGAGACTCATATCAGTAGTCTCGTGCGATTATAATACAAATATTAGGTCTGTTGAGTTTTGAATACTTTTCTTTTTTTTGCCATCAAAAACATAGTTTTCTTGTTTGAGGAAAGGAAATCTACTATACATTTAAATAAAAGCCCAGAGATATAGCTTTTATGTGGATTGTTTATTTTTTAATATAAATAATAATATATCCAGTGCCAACAAGAGCCTTTGCCAATACCAAGTCTCTTTAGGCCAGCTGAGATACGACAGACATAGTAGCCTTTCTCTCTGTTGGAGAAACTTAAGTTTAAGTAACCAGGGGCACTCAGAATTATAAAACTCCCCTTCACCCCACTCCTGGTTTGAGAGTTGTGAGCAAAAACTTTGTATAGAGAAGAAGAAGAAAAAAAAAGTGGAAACTTGATTCTTGCCTCATTCTGACATGGGTTTCAAAAAAAGCCGTAAAAATACAAAAAACCACCCAATCCTCTTGCTTCTTGAATAGAGCATGGTCTTCATGCTCTAAGCAAACTACAACTTACCTTGAGAAAGAATAAAAAAAATATCATAGGATCCTATAAGGTGGGAAGGTGATCAGAATATACAATATCCTAGAACTTGCATATGGAGAGGGGGGGGGGGCAAATCAACTTGTGCTGGACATGGGTGGTCTAATTAACCATTAATTAAGGAGCTCAGTGGGCTCATTGTTTCACTTACAATGGGTTCAAGCAGATACCTAGAATATAAGGGGGATGTGTATTTCTAATGTGATGCTTTTATAAAAAAATGGGGAAGCTCATTTTAGGATTCTTTCCTTAACTGCAAGGAAATGCAATGATTGTGTTAACAAATTGATTCAGAATGTATATTGGTAGATGGTAAGCAATTCTGGAGTATTTTTTTTCTTCTGAATTTGCAACTTTCTGTGTATGGGATTTGGCACATTATAAGTTATTCAACACCATACTCTAGAAGGGACTTGATATAGGTTTTTGTAAATTACCAAGATAGACTGCAACTGTTGTTACTCTTCCAACCACCTCCAAGATTTGTTTTAAATAACTAATTTTTGGCTAACGTTTTTGGGAAACTGAGTTGAAGTGGTATGTCCAAAGTGAATCTATTAATAAAGGTAATACCTAGGAATTTAACCATGTTGGAGAATCTAATTGCTGTGTTGTACATTTTTAATTATATTTTGGGTAATCTTACCCCCCTCTTAAATTGATACTTACAGAAAGTTATTGCTTATGTTTTGACAGGGTTGAGAGCCACTCGCCCTATATCACACCAATTAACCGAGTTACTGAAAGATAATCGAACTCTTGCAGTTGAAACTATAAGATCACATTACGTGCTCCATCTAATTACCTCATCGGCATACCGAAACACATATATCTGAACAAACACTTATACCCACTGACTGCGAAATTCGGATTTACCCCATATTTACCAAAAAAGTTTCCCCACTACTGTGACATACGGGAATATCCCCCCGTACTTGAAACAATCAAACCTGCCATCTGTGTCCTACGCCATGGAACCTGGATTTTTATTGACTTTGTTTTGTCTATATTTATGCCATTTACTGGAGAACAGTTTTCTTCTAATTTTCCTCAATTGTTTGTTTGTCATTATTTTTCACTATCCAATATCGTTTTCAAGGACTACTACTATCAGATATAGAAAATACAGCTTCTTTAAATACTGAAAGAGTTATAGAAAGGGTCAAATTCATTCTTTTATGTTTTGGTGGATAATTGACAATTTTTAGGAATCAATCTGAAAATTAATTATGCAGTGAAAGGATTAATGGTAAAGCCAGGAAAGATATAAAATTAACAATAATCATTTAAAATAGCAGGCTTAGTACCAATCCTAGAGGAACGCCTTCTTAAAATGGGAAGGATTTAGATATTGCATTATTAGTTCTGACTTTTATAGAGCTGTTAGAGATGAAACTTCAGATCCAGCAAATGAAAAGAGGATGAGAATATTTTAACTAAACTTGTACTTCTAGCCATTTTGCAACACTCAAAAGTTTTTCTGGATGTTAAGAAAAGTGGTGACTGTGCTATGTTTTCTAATAAAACCCCTGGAGACTGACTGTTATTCTTATGAAGTGGCCAGCCTTTACTTTTTTCTTGCAGGAGGCGTTTTGTTTATCAGATAGAAGGGCGTTAGTTTCAAAACAGAACAAGATTCAGTTAGCTTAATTTTATAAGAGTTTGCCTGTGCAATTAAGCAGACTTATCGGTTGATAATTGTTAGGGTTAAGTTCCATGTTTTTACTGGAGAGGACTTTATGGCAATTTCCATAGTGAGTGGTAGTTTGATAGAAATGAAAGTTGAAACAATGCCCAGAGATGCATAATAAGATGTTTGGAATTGTTTTTATGGGTGAGATTGCTGATATTATCCTCACCCAGAGCTGTATTTTTGAACGCTTCAGCATTAATTGATCTATTTTAGTTAAGGGTCTTGTGGCAATATCCCTGAATGGGGACAGAAGAGAGTTGATATTGTTAAGTGATACTGGATTAAATTCATCATTATTATTTGTAATCCCAGTGTTAACTTTGAGGAAATGTTCATCAAAAGGTAGCAAAATTAAGGTATGGTCTTGAATATGCTTTTATAATAATCTGCAAAAATATTCAGCTTTTCCCTTTGTCAATTGTGGCAATGTGTTCTTGTACTCAATATTACTGTTGGACTGAGAAGAGGACTGGTCACAAATTTATTTGAATTTGTGCCAGAAAAGCATAGGGTTTGAGTCGTGCTTCACCAAACTAATAACAAATAAGTTTACATTCTGTTTGTTGATTAGTTTTTTTGATCATGTTGTATTTGCTATCTACGAGTGGTCTGACAGATATATCATGTGTAGCAGTGATTACATAACCTAATCACTGTCTACTGAAGATAAGGCAATTTGTGAAACTAGATGCCACAATTTAAGGTCCTTTGTGTTTGAAGTATTTCACTGAGTAGTGGAGATTGCTTTAGTGATAGCGAGGGCATATTTATTTTGTCCTTATCTAGAGCACGTTGCAATATTTCTTGTAGATGTTTCTTAATAGTGGTTTTAAAAATTTTCCAATTGATTTTGTTAAAATTAAAAACTGGGATTAGCAGAGTATTAGTAGTTCTCTCTCTCTCTCTAATGTTCAGGAAAAAAGTTAACTAAAATAGGGTTGTGATCGCGCATGTGCGTGTGTCATGTAATGGTTACATATAAATTAAACAAATTGTAGGCATAGTTGTGGTTCAGACACTATTTACATTAATGAACTGCTTGACAACAAATGTTACAGTGTGAACTGGATTAAGTTTGTGAAGGATAACTTTTTCATTAATGTCACAAAATATCAGAATTAAGGCAAGGTATATTTAACATTACATTATTTATTTTAACACCAAATTGTTTATTATTACTAATTATTTTGTTTGAATTAATGAACTCCCCCCAAACATAAAAACTAGCAAGTGAGCAAGCTAGTTCTCATAATAAAAATAAATATACTACAATGTAGCCAATTCCAACTATCAGAATTTTTTTTTAATGCAATGTTATCAAAGAACAAAATTATACTAATGTGCTGTTTAATTCATTATCATGAATACAAACATGAAGATAGTATTTCCCTTTCAAATTTCCGAATTTTCCAGTTTCAAGTTGCAGATAAGTAATTAAATATTTAAAAAAATAGTTATACAATTGTAATTAATCAAAAAATGGGCTAAGCTAATGTTGAACCCAAGAAAGGTGTTTGCTATCCTATATAATTCATTATTTGAAGTATTATAATACTCATCTTCCATTTGAAGACATTAAAAATAAACCTTTTAACTCTGTGCAACATTTTGACAAGTTTATATAGACCCAAGTGTAAAACTGGTTATAATAGTCATCTTATGAACTAATAAAAATAGATGTTAAGCACTCACCTTGAGTGGTGGACTCCTCATCAGTTCCCATCAGTGGGACAACACCTTTGTCAACCTTAATGCCTGGAATGATACCACGGTTTTTGAGTACCTGAACAAATGGTGTTCCATCGTCAGTCTTTTGATACACAGTCTCATGAAAAAGAATGACTCCACTGATGTAATCTTTCATTATTTCATCACTTGTAAACAGCAACTGGCGATATTGTCTCCTGTTCTCTTCTGTGTTCTCGACACCAATTCCTGCCAACCTTTTTCCCATTGTGGCTAGTAAATGTGATCACATTTTTTTTTTTTTACAAAACATGTTAAAAACAAATGATTTTCTTGGAAAAAAGAAATGCATAACTAGAAACTTAACTTATACAAAGTAATAAAAGTCAAGACTTGGTTTGATCCCAAATAACTTAGAAATGCCAAGCAAAAACAAACTTTGTATAATAATAAAGCTAAATAAGTGAACTAGCTACGAGAGTTACAAAACTGTCCAACATTTCATCATCTTCTAAATCTTTTGAAATTCACGAAAATTCAAATTGGAGTGAAGCAAGCTTTGTCTTGTTTTGAAAATTAATGGTCAGAATAGGGTGTATTAAACACTCCACATGCAAAACTTTATGGTTCAACTTATGCTGACAGGAATGTTTAAGGTTCAGATATATGAACTGGTATACAACTCATGGACCACAGACTTTTTTTTCCAATTTGCTTTATAACTCCCCATGGTATTAAAAGCATTTTAATATATATTTTTGGGTATTCTTGCCAGACTAAGACTGAATGTAAGAGTAACTGTAGTGTAAAAAATTCTCCATTAAGTAAAGCTATTTTGATGTGCAAGACATGTTTTTCCATGCAAGACTTAATAAACAAATTAAGAAAGCCACATGTAGAAATTTCAGACAAGCTATTTGGCTTGGACAATAACAAAAGAAATTTTAACACTTTACATGCTATGCTTAACTCCATATGCAATAGTAAACCAGCTATATTGTCCTTTAGAGGACTTACTGCTTTCTTAGCCTTTTTCTATACTATAAACAGCTCAATGGAATACCCCTGTCCTTTTTCATAGAAACTATTTGAAAAGAACTACTCCAATTACTGGCTACATGTGAAAGAAGGTAACCTTTACTATTCACTTGAAGGGATATTCCAAATTTTAATTTAATAGAAATTATGTATATTTCCTTGCTACTAAACTACATTACTTTTGAGACAAATGTATTACATATAGTACAAATTTTATATATGGTGTTAAGACATAAGCAATTAATTTGATTCTGAAAATGTATCAGTGCTATATCAGGTATGTTCAATTCCTCAGGGAAAACTTTTTAATATTGTAATACCTGAAATACAGAGCAAGATGTTTGAAACCCTGACTTGACGATTATTTAATGGTCCAAATATTCTCCATGTTCCTGTATATCATATTACTCAGTTAAGAATTAGTGTGTCATCTATATTAACTCTTTCACCACAGGCTCAGTCCCTGGTATCGACCTCATAACTGTTTTGTGCTCGTTATAGTTTTCATGCTATAACCTTTAAATTAGTAAGTGTATGTTAACGTAATTTGGCAAATTGTCACCAGACATTACAATGCTTTCATATGCACAATATCAAATATTTTTTTGTTAAGTCTTAAGGTTTGTAAAGCAGTGTTTTTCTCCTGCCTTTTTATTTTTTTTTGCATTTTGCCTATCCAATATGCAAAGCAATTTTCATTTTAAGAATAAAAATACTTTTGTGCATCAGAAAATTTTCAAAGTTCACATGCAAAATCTTTATATTTTACCTGTTATTTTCACTAACAAATCTCTGTACTGGTTCGGTCAATTTGACCAGTCTCGTAACCACCATAAACTGCCTTTTTTGTTCTAGAATGACTACAAATTACAACATAAAACAAATGTTTAGACTAAATACCTTAAAATGATACTAATATACATATTCACATATACATACACACACGTATATTTATTATTATTCTTATATTGACCTTTCAGCCATGCCTGGCTAACAATACAGAATTTACAATGACACAGTACATGTGCACTTATGTTACTGTATCCAATAATATAAAACTGACCTTTCTTGGCTGTGTTTTAGTAAACTTGTATTTTGTAAAATACAGGCATAATTCAATTATTATATATATATATATATATATATATATATATATATATATATATATATTATATTATAACTAACTAATTATTAATTTATTTAACTTAAACTAAAGTAACTAGTAAGTAAGTAAGTA